ATGACTCGGATCCTCAAATCATCTCTGAATTGGTGCTGACACTGGCCTTCCTTCTGGAGGGGGGCTACTTTTGTTCCCCATGGTCCCTGTGGGTGTTGTAGAGTAGCCACCGCTCCAAGCTCGCTCCCGTGATGGACTACAATCTCAATACAGGATAGTAAAAATAAACATGAGATTGTAGTCCAATACGGGAGTGAGCTTAGAGTGGTGGCTACTCTACAACACCCACAGGGACCATGGGGAACAAAAGTAGCCACCCTCCAGAAGGAAGGACAGTGTCAGCACCAATTCAGAGATGATTTGAGGACCAACAGCCAAGTGACTCAAAAAATATAAATTTTTGTTAATAGTTAAGGTACTTGAATGTATTTTTATGATTTAAGTTCTGAGTTTACTGTCACTTTAATTATTTTTAAAAAGCAAACAAAAGGAACCGCGGGTAAAGGCCATAAACACATAATCGAACTAGTTTATATGCTAGGTCATGCTGCCCAAGCAATTACTTGTACGTGTCCAACTGACCCCACCCTGGCCTGGCAGCCCTTCAGAGATTAGAAACTATACAAAGCCTTTCTCCTGTATAATAATACAGGACACACAGAGACCCTCGCCAGAAATTAACTTTCTCCATCATTTTCTAGTTCACAAGTTCACAGACATATTCTCACGTTGCTAACCCCATTGAAAGAAAATTGAAATTGATATTTTCACTGGTCTTCCAATAGAGCCTGAAAATTATGTTGCTCAGTGAACGCAGCAAGAAAAACCTCGGAAGATTCCTGGAAAGACACATGTAAATTACAAACCAAAGCTTAAAAATCAAGGGCGAGGGGGCGGCTGTACTGAGGGATTGGATAAATGTATCTATTTATAATTGAAAAGTGTTTTTTGCGGAAATCCTAACACTAAGGGGCATGTGACAAAAAAGAAAATTCACAAACATTTCATAAAAAAAGATAGGTAATATGTTCGAAAAAGTGGGGTGTTTTCTGATGCACGGGTGCACAGTTCAGAAAGATGAATACAAGTGAGAGAAGGCTGAAATGTCATGATTACAAAACATACTCTTTTAGTTTCAATAAAGGAACGGAGGGTTAAACCTTTGCCGGTGTTCCCACTAGTGAAATTTCCTCAGACTTCCTGTTTGGTCACAGATACAGAAAATGGGATAAAAACCTCTCCAACAGGAACACATATAATGTATTTTTTTTTTAGTAGATGGGCAAAGAACTAAACCTAGGGCTGCACAGGCAACCAGATCTCTTTACTGTTGAGGTTTTTTACATTTAACCCAACAATATTCATTTGTAGATTCTGGATAGAGTTACATTTTCTCTTATTTGTGACCCCCCTGGGGAGCTTTTCCCTCACTTCCTGTTTCTGTGATACCAGTAAAAAAAAAAAAAAATGGGTCGTTACCGGGACAGCAAGGCACAGACAGGGGGGTCTGTGCCTTGCATGCTACTTACATGTGCACACACACAGGGCCGGATTTATTCTCTCTGCTGCCCCAATGCCAGGTTCCTCAAGGCGCTCCCCTGTATGCAGGCTGCATACAAGTGACCTTGGCAACCTCACTGAGATCACTTGTACAAAACAAGCGGCAGCTTCCCCGCTGTACATTAAGCCCTGCTTGCCCAAAGCCGGGCTAAATAAAGAAAACAACTACCCGCTCGGCGCCCGGAACCGCATGTCCCGGGTGTTGGGAGATAGGAATTCCACACACCTGCTGCCGCTCTAGTCCCTGCTGCCCCAAGGCCGGGAATCGGTTGGCCTTGTGGGAAATCTGGCCCTGCACCCACTGGAGAGATTACCAATCACTTTCTGTCCCGACAGTAAGGGAGGGCAAAACTTCCCAATAGGGAATTTTTTTCTGTTCTTGCCTCAGGCGCAAAAGCAGCTAGCTACCGCTCTGCACAAATGACTAAACCTTTACCACTATCCAGTTTTGGCTATAGTCCCTCTTTAAAATCAGGAAGCAGGGTAAATTTTAAGTGCTTGTTTTTGCATACCTGTACAAAACATTTACGCATTAACCAAGTTAGAATCTTCTTACCTTTCATATTCTGCAGGAATGCATAAGAGAAAAAAAGAAGAGAGAGAGTTCTGTATAAGAAGCCATACTGGTGCTATAACTTATTGGCCAGCCACCAATGTGCACTTCTCTCATCAGTTACATGAGAGGCAAAAGATCCATGTTATTCTTGTTGTGATCCTCATACTAACACTTTTATACCCCACCTAAATATCCTGAAAAATTAACTGAAATTGCAAATTAAAAAAGTATAATGTACAGTACTCAACTGTGTTACACTTGCACTACTGTGATTCGAATTCCCTTACCCCACTTAGGAACACTAAGCAAAGAGGAAAGAATGAACTTTAAAATAAGGCTCCCTTTACATCAGCTCATTGCAGATAATGTACATAGTTACATAGTGCAGGTTGAAAAAAGACACATGTCCATCGAGTTCAACCTATAGAGATATTTTGAAAAAAAAAAAAGCCTGAACAGAACGCTGTGTCCCCAATTACCCCCTGTTGATCCAGAGGAATGCAAAAAAAAAAACCTATAAAGCATGGTTCAATTTGCTCCAACAGGGGATAAAAAAAAGTTCTTCCTGATCCCATAAGGTAATCGGATATTTGGATATCAACAATCTCTGATGCTTAATATACCTATAAAAACTCAATATCCAGTAATATTCTGTGCATTTAGGAATACATCCAGATTTTTTTTAAATGTACAGTATTTGCACATTATACCCAACCTGCCAATTCTGAATGGGCTACCAACACCCCAAAAAGAACATTAAAAATTGCACATGCAGCATTATATCCAATGTACCACCTCACAAAGAATGTTGATATCTGTGCGATGTGGTAAAAGAGAACGCAAGTACATTGCAGTACAATGCCTAGGTGCCTTGGATGCCATTCAAAATGGCTGGAAAGGCGATACACTGATCGCAGTAAATATTTAAAGCTAGTTTAGCAGTTTACTTTGATCACGCTCTCTCTGGTGTTCAATGGGCCTTGATTTAGCCCTTTGGGGTAAAAAAAAAATCTTACAATTTGTGGAAAAATAGTTAAAAAGGATCATCTATCTGCCAACCTGGAAGGAGAAAGGCAAATTTGTAATCAGACTGTTCATGTACATCTAATGCCTCTAGCCTGTTCCAAGGAAGTTGTACATCTGGGTAAAAAGAAAAAAAGAAATGCAGTGAATCTTTGTAATACTTGCACATTTCCCCATGTTGATTGTTTCTTTCAAAAGGCGGCAAGTACAGAAAAATACCTGTTGATCTTGCTAGAGATTTAGTGAGCTTCTCACTTCCTGTAATCAACAGAAAACATTGCTTCTGCTGCACTAAAATGCCATGCAGTGTTGTCAAACCTGTGTGAGTCTTCCCCTGTTGGACTACAGAACATCTCCTCCTCGTATCCATACCATAAGGAGGATGCGTTCTGTAGTCGAGCAGGGAAGAACTGGCAACACTGCTTGGGATTTAAAGGAGTTGTAAAGTCCCAGCATATCCTCTCCTGTTACAATATTATAATAGGAATACATATGAGAGTATCAAAGCTTGACAAAAATCACTTTCATGTAGTGAGTGCTGCTTTCTGACACCCCATTACTTTCATCAACTTCCTGGATTCCCAGCGTGCTTTCCATCTCTTTGCCTGCTGCTTGATATGATGCAATCTCCATTTCTCATGACTTCAAATCCCATCATGCATTGCTTCCAGCAAGCAATGATGATGTTACATTGTGGAAAGTTCAGATGTTAAAGTGACATTAAACCCTCAGATTTTTTAACATAAAACAATACTGTAATGTGTGCCTTACTGTAATTAATGGTTGTTTCCCTTCTCTTTGCTGCTCTTCCTTTTAAATCCTTCTCTCTTCTCATGCTGGGCAGAACTTCTGTTTTGCAGCAGACTGCCTTGTCTCTGGAATGGATACATGGTGTCTGTGTGAAGGTTCACAACCTGAGCCAGCACTACAGGAAGAGGCACTCAGCTGCAAAGGGAAGTTCTCCCCAAGCATGAGAAGAGATAAGGATTTAAAAGGAAGAGCAGCAAAGAGAAGGGAAACAACCATTAATTACAGTAAGGCACACATTACAGTATTGTTTTATGTTAAAAAATCTGAGGGTTTAATGTCACTTTAAGTTGTAGCTCAGACAGCAGGCTTAGTTAGAGAGGTGACACAAGGAACTACATATTCAAAGGGCCGTGAGCGAAACTGGGCCAGTGCACTGAGGAAGTGCATCCTTTGGACATCTTCAATACGTTTACAAGCTTCCAGATGGATCTGGTTATTAGGAGTGGGATAGACCTTATGGAAATTCAATACAGAAATTCAGATTTATTTTTCGTTTTTGAACATAGATACCCTTTAGGTGCAGCAAAGGCAGAGTTGTCAGCTCACTACAGGAAGTTATGTGCTCTCTGGCAGGATCAGCAGGTAATTTTCTGTACTAGTATTGCTTTCAGAGAAGCAAAACATGGCCAAATGTGGGTATACTGTAGAAATGTACTGAATATGTTGATTTGATTTTGCCTAAACATACACTTATATGTATGGTAACTTCTGTAGTAACAATGTGCTGTAGCCCAGTTTATTTAGGCTAATGAATGCTGCGTTCTGACCACCTGTTCAGGCTAACGGCACACCACTGCGTTTTGCATGATGTCATGAAATAAAAGCAATGTTGTATATTTCTACTGTGTGGCTATTTTACTTCAGCAATCTGATGCGCGCATACTGGCTTGTTCAAAATTGTGCAAGTATTATCTATACAAAATGCAGTTGCCCGACGCAACCAACCAAATTCCAGTTTACTACAGTCAGATGAGTAAAATGCGACCATCGATAGGTTGCAATGGGTTACTGCACATTGCACACTTCTCTTTCACGTACTAAATAAGCTTGATGGAATGGATTTTCCAGTACAATGCCGCCAATTTGTACACAGCTTGTTCTACTCTCTTACTTCTGGTTCTCCGCAATCACACTGTTCTCCTTCTTCAACGTATCCGTTTCCACACTTCTTTTCTCCAAATGATTCTGTAACTTCGGGCATGTTGTAGAGACACATGCCCACTCCCTTTTCCAGGCTGCTGTCCAAGTCCTTCTTGCTGCAGCTGCTGAACACTGTGGGGAATGGGTATCTGCAAAGGAGCACAGCCAAGGCAAAAGCTCCGTCAGTCAGATGTGTGCAAACAACATATCCTTTAATAATTCTCTTTTTACAAAGCCCTGAGCACCAACCAGCCAGCAGCCCAATGCACTCCAGACCCTGATTTACCCCAGCCACTTGATAGGACAGCAAGGACATCACAGAAAAGGGACTACGCTGGCTTCCTGTAGGCTTTCCAGTCTTTCTCCCTTGAAGGGGTATGTGTGGCTAATATTTTATTCCTTACACAAACACAATTTTTCGCTATTACAGTGCCAAAGCGTGCCTCTCTCATGATTATATTATGTCTGGATACAGACCAGCTGGCAAGCAAGATGCAGGCCTTGTTCTCTCCCCATAGACAGCGAAAAGACTATATATTCATCACCGCTCGGCAGCGCGGCAATAACTCAACCACATGACAAGTCAAAGGCAAGCCGTTAATGAGTTCGTACTGTAGTCACCTGCAATTAGAGTGCACGGAGGCAAAATGTACATGAAATACTGCTGGAACGGAAAGCTGCTTCCACGATGACTGCTCTGCTAGGCTGGGAGACTTTAGTCACTCTTCGAGATAAATTATCATTAATTAATGAAGAAATTAGCTTGAGAGAAAAAACATAGGGGGTCTATGATACAGCGATTGTCAGCACATAAGACTGTAGTGCTGGAAAAGGGCAAAAACAGGGGAGAGGCGTAATAAGGGTTTAAACTGCTAAAACAGACTGACGGAGGACAGTGAAGCATGGTTTCGATCACTACCAGGTCTCATCCATGCAGTGGAAACACAACACAGAGCAAGGAAAGGCAGGGCAAGGCAAATACATATAATGGGGCTGCCAGAAATATCAATAAAGAAACCTCACTCATTTTAAAATGCATGTCCGTGCATTACCCAATTGTACCTTCAAACCTCCCTCTTGCACTCTAAGGCATATCCCAGGATTACATTTTTAAGTTTTTGTTTCAAATAATTTTTATTGAAGTAAAGCGAAAGAAGAATTTGGAACAATAAACGAAGTGCAGCTGCATATCAAAAGATACAATGTAACAACAAAATTATGAACATAGGTTGAAAGGGCAAGGCCACGAGTTTTATTTTTTTTACCTTGTTCCTGTAGTGAGAAAAAGCTTTCATTGTTACCCTGGACCTTCATCACCAGGCTTCCTAATAGGCAACTGGTGGAAGCTCAGTTCCTATAGACATTGGCACAACTCAGAACTACATCTCCCAAGAGCACTTCTGCTACACACAGCCTGTAGGCAGGCTGTTGGGAGTCAAGGCAGCACCACTAGAAATCACTAGACATAAAGAAATCAATGCATGCACATGGAGTAGGACGGGGGGCGGGGGGATGGCAGAGGGGTAGTAGCTAGAGCTGATCGTGCTGCCTGGGATTTAAGGGCAGCTGAGGCACTATGTTCTGATCCCAAACTAGAAGTTAGGAGCACACTGCATTTCTGGCAGAACTACAGGTATTGTTCTGTCTGTGCCACATTTGTAAAGGAAGATAACATGGGGAAATGTGCATGTTTTGCAGAAATGTAGTGACTGAGTATGCTATTTTTTTTGCCCAGGCATACACTTTAATGTGAGTCTCAATACTGATACCTGTATAATTTTAAAAGAACAAAAACAAACTGATATGTACTCAATATTATATTCACTGCAGTCTAACATTAAGTGTGCTATGTACTAGACATGTGCACCAGCAAAAAAATGTGTTTAGTTTAGTTTCGTTTTGCATATTTCGTTTTTCGGATTTGGGTCCACAATTAAATTCATTTCGGGATTCGGACGAAATTCGTTAGCTGTAGTCCGGTCGAAATTTTGTTTATTGGACGAAATTTCCTTAGCAGCAAAGTGACATTAGAATTTTTTTTTTTTTTTACAGTCTGAAGAAGATGAGAAAAAAAAAAAGCGTGAGGTCCCCCTCCAATTCATACCAGACCCTTTAGGTCTGGTAGGAATGTTAGGAGGGACCCTCCCCCAAGTTAAAAAAAAAAA